GGGGGGGGGGGGGGGGGGGGGGGTTAGGGAGCTTCCCCCATGCAGACCCTGGCTGACCCCTAGTCTCTCCCATTCAGTCAGGCACATCTGCTTCTGTCCCCAGGTGTTCCTGCACCCCCATGTGTCCTTGAACCCCCCCTGTCCACATGTCCCTCCACTCCCACTCACACCCCCTCCCTCTGTCCCCATGTGTCCCTGTGCCCCCACCTAGCCACTTCCCTCCCCACTGTGGTCCTGTGCCTCCACTCCTATTCAGCCCCTGCCCCAGTCTGTCCTCCCCCACTAGCCCTTATGAGCCCCTGTCTGACTGCCCAGCACCCCACGCTGTCTGTCTCCCCATAGCCCTGGTCTCCTGATCTGGCCTGACAGGTGCTGCAAAGGCAAGCTCTTTCTTTTCCCTCGCTGGCTGGGAGCTGCTGCTGTTCTATTGCCACAGCGCCCTCTGGTGGGCAAGAGGCAGAACTGCAGCAACATTTCAACAGAAGCTTTTTTTCTGCGCAAAAAATTAAAAATATGCTAGGCTCATTAATTATGCACGTGCAGTAGTGCAGAATTCCCTCAGGAGTATATATTGTTACATTTAGAAGGTGGTTAAGTACATTTGCCCTTAAACAGTTCTTTAACTTTTGCCATAATCCCCACAATCAGTTCATCCCATTAATTTTTACAGGTACAACCCACTCTTGTTAAAGAAATGTGCTTGTCTGAGAGAAACAGATAAGATTTTCAGTGCTGATGACCAGTTGCAAATGAAAGTCATGCTGTAGCATGTGTTACAACATGCTTCTAGGAAAAGCAGAAGAAGCATGTAAAGGCTCTACAGTAAAATCTCTTTAAAAATTGATTGGTCTTGTCCCTAGATTAGGATGTTTAAGAAGATTTCCATTTGTAAAGTACAGTTAGCATAGGTATTCTTCGAGTGTTCTCTCTATACTCACAGTTTGTGAGATCAAAGAAGTCTTAGTTTTTAATTTAAAAATAAATGACCCTGCAAATCCAGCATTGGAAGAAACCTATCTGCATATAAGTTCAGAAGTCCTTCCAAAGTAGATTGTCAGTTGTGGTCTGGATAAGCAGAAATGAATAAATGAAGGTAAAATACCTAAATCTGCAAGGTATGAAAGCTTCTTAGCTGCCAGTGTAGAGGTTTAAGAATCTGAGGCGCATGTGGCTAAACTTGAGTACTGGTGAAAATGCATATGACTGAAGTTTGGATTTATTGGTAGCCTGCAAATCAAAGAGAATTGCGATTGTCACCGCAGCATCAGGTATAAGTATTTCTTGGTCTGATTTGTATGCCAAAGGATTTTTTTTACCACTAGCCATGGATATAAGCTGGAACATGCTACCACAATACAAATAAAATGCCCACACCAATGTATTCTGTTGTTGGAAGAAAAAATTACAGAAATTGACCCAAGAATTAGAAAAAAATACTTACATAAAATTTCAAAATGTACTGATATCTTCTAGAAAACTCAAGTGTGTGTATGTCACTCAACACATAGATGTATGTATGTTTGAGTTTTCCAGAAGGCATCAATGTGTCTTGAAACTTAATTTGATTATAGTTATAGACAGCTAACTTAAGTGGTGATGGAGCTGTGGGGTAATAGCAAATTGTCACCGCTAACTTGAGTTCATTTTGCTGAAACGTTGTTTGTTGAATTCTGTGAAATCTCTTCTTGGTTTTTGATCCTATATAAAATTGTTGCATTTCACAGATATAAAGTCATAGCTCCGAAATACATGCACTCCTCTTATTTAGCATTACTGTGAAATAGGACTTAGGGCTATCTGCAGTGAGATCTTTGTGTATTGATTAAATATGTGGATTTTTGTCCCTTTCACTGAGGGTGTTTTTGTTGGAAAGTTACTTGATCTGTTACGGCTCGTGGCATATCTGCAGTGAAGGTTCTCTGTCTCATATCTCACCTGATACCTATTTTGTTTTGCAGTGTTTTCTCAAGGGCTGAAAAAATCCTCCCTGGAGCTTTATGGCTTAGTCTGTTATGGGGAACTAAGGAAGAAGATTGGGGGCTGTGAGTATGAATTTCCGCAAGTGGTGGAAATTGTTTTTTTTGTACTGTAGAATTATGGAGTTCTACATTGAGGGCTGGGCTTGCCTTGTACTGTTGTGCTTTGGTGGCTTTCAAAATGTCTGCCCATTGTATTCTGGTACAGTTCTGTGTTGTGTAGCTTTCTTAAGGGATTTTTGATTTTTTTTTTTCTATAAGAATTTTTTTTGGCCAGTTACATGGAATTCCCATTTTTCTTTTAACATAATATTTATTTAGCTTTCTTTATGCAGATAATACAGAAAACACAGGCCTGATTTTATTTTATTCTTTTTCGAGTGCTTGTTCACGTCGATTCCAATCAGGTGTGTGCACGCCGCGTGTGTGGTCATAGGAAACTTTTTCCCTCAGCAGCTCCCGTCGGGTCGGTTAGGGAGCCCCCTAGAGTGGTGCCCTCGTGGTGCTAAATATATGACCCTGCCAAGCCGACCCCCCTTCAGTTCCTTCTTACTGTCCGTGGCAGCGTTGGAACTGCGTTTTGCTTGCTTGCAAGTGTTCCCTTAGCCTATTACGTAGTCCTACCCTGTTTTTGTTTTGTAATTAATTTATTGTTTGTAGTTAGTATAGACTTGGTGATCGTTCTCCCCTCACCCCACCTTGGGCTTCAGGGAATGCTTCAAGCCCAAGGATTTAAATCTTGCGGTGTATGCAGAAAGTCTATGCCCAATAGCGATCCCCATGACTCGCGCCTGAGGTGTCTAGGGAAGGCGCATCAGTCTGAGCACTGCAAGATTTGTAAGGCTTTTAAGCCCAGAACTAGAAAGGAATGCAACTTCCATTTGAAGCAGTTGTTAATGGAAGCCACACTCGGTCCAGCGGCACCGAACCGCCAAGGTCCGAGCTCAAGCTCAGTGCGGAGTGCCCTGGCATCGGTCCGTGAATCGGTACTGAGGAAGGACGATGGTGCGAGAGACCCTCGGTACTAAAAATCCCCGGCACTGCAGCAAGGAGCAGCGCCCCAGCACTGGTCAACATCTCCAGTGCCCCACAAGCACCATAAGAAGGCGGACAGAGGGCGCTCTCCTCAGAGAGTGAGACCAGCAGGGGAGACTTTGCTGCCCCAGAGGAAGGCCTCAACTTCCAAGCAGCAAGATCTCATGCCGTTGACTCCGGCGCCCCAGGTGGCACCGTTGAGCCTAGCACTCAGTGACTGTCCAGCGGGGCAGTGCCTGGTGGAGGCGTTGGAGCCCCCCTTGACCCCAGACACTTTTGAGGCTGCCAAGGAGCTTATAGAAATTACTGTGCCTCAGCCCTTTGCTGTTAGAGAGAAGCTTCTGGCACCGCCCTCGGGATCCTCAGACTCTGAGGCCGACTCCTATTACTCGTGGTGCAGTAGACATAGGTTGGATAAGCGCCGGAGATATGCTTAGTCGGCCTGGCAGCCACAGTGGCTACCTGCCACGCAATGGCCCTTCTGGACCCCTGGGCTTACCATCAGGTCCAGGGCACCCCTTTGAGGGTTTCTAGGTTGGTGGCGTCGGGACGTCATCCTTCCCGGTTACCGATGGATAGACCTGCTCCTCGGGTTACAGAGGCGACCCTGTCCAGACTGCCCCCTCATACTACAGAGGAGACAGTGGAGACCCTCCCATAGCCCAGGTCACATCTGTCGAACCACTGGACAAGTCCAATGCAACCCAGGGGCAATCTGGGCACATAGAGGGCCACGGGGACCCAGTACTCCCACTTGCTTCCTTGTCATCCTCACCTGATGAGGCGGTGGCAGGAGCGTCAGCTTCAGGTCATCCACCCATTGACCACAGGGCGCACCAGGACCTGCTCCGCCGCATTGCCCGTAACATGGGCCTACAGATGGAGGAATTCATTGAGTCAGAGGACGCGATGGTGGACATTCTCGCCTCAGGAGAGTTAGGTTGTTTGGTATTCGCCAACCCTATGGTGGGCTGTTTCCTTAAGGGCATGGAATGGCTATATCCACAGTCCTGTCCACCTGCTTGGGACCTCAATCTGGTCCTAGCTAGGCTAATGGGGGGGCCCCCTTCGAGCCACTGGCTACATGCTCCCTTCTGTATCTCTCATGGAGGGTGGCATTTCTGGTTGCCATCACATCGGCCAGGAGGGTGTCAGAGTTAAAAGCGTTAACCTCCGCCTCCTCCCCCACCCCACCCGCACCCCCTCAAGGACAAAGTACAGCTCAGGCCGCACCCAGCCTTCCTGCCCAAGGTGGTATCCCAATTCCACATCGGCCAAGTCATTTTTCTACCAGTTTTCTTTCCCAAGCCACATGCTAATGCACAGGAGCAGATGCTTCACTTGCTAGATGTGCAGAGAGCACTAGCATTCTACGTTGAGCGCATAAAGCCTTTCAGGAAGTCAAACCAACTGTTTGTAGCAGTGGCAGACCGCATGAAGGGGCTTCTGGTCTCCTCACAACGCATTTCTTCCTGGATCATGGACTGCATCCGTACCTGTTATGACCTTGCCAAGTTCCCAGCCCTGGCTATTATGGCCCACTCGATACAAGCTCAAGCCTTGTCCACTGCTTTCCTGGCCCAGGTGCCCATCCAGGAAATCTGCAGAGTGGCAACCTGCTCCCCAGTGCACACGTTTACCACTCACTATGCCATCACCCTGCATTCTAGAGACGGCTCAGCTTTCGGCAGAGCAGGTCTCCAAACAGTGATTCCTTAACTCCGACCCCACCCCTATGGGAGAGCTTGGGAGTCACCTGATTGGAATCGACATGAACAAACACTCGAAGAAGAAGAAAAGACGGTTACTCACCTTCTTGTAACTGCTGTTCTTTGAAATGTGGTGGTCTCGTCAATTCCAATACCCACCCTCTTTCCCCTCTGTCGGAGTAGCCGGCAAGAAGAAACTGAAGGGGGGTCAGGTCCGCAGGGTCATATATTGAGCGCCCTGAGGGTGCCACTCCAGGGGTTCCCTAGCCAACCCGATGGGAGCTGCTGAGGGAAGAGTTTTCCGACGACCGCGCATGTGTCACGCACACGCCTGATTGGAATGGATGTGAACAACATATCTCGAAGAACAACAATTATAAGAAGGTGAGTAACTGTCCTTTCTTTTTTTATTTTTTTTTTTTTTAAGAACCATCCACAGTTTTGCAGGTGAAATACATTTAATTTATATATCTGGCTACCTGGTTGTTCCTGAAAATCAAGCAATTAAATATATAAACTATATCACATGCATCTGCCATTATTTGTGCCTGCAAAATCACACTCTGGGATGACGCTGTTTTCCAAGTCAGGCCTTAAATCTTTATATAACAATAAATACTTTAAACGAATAAACGTTATCAGTCATAATCAGCAATAAAAACTTAAACTGTTCGGTAAGATGCATTCTAAATAAATCAACTTCTTTAGCCCTGTCCGCACTAGTTTGTCCTATGTGTTTCTTTCAGTCTGGACCCAAGCATTTTTGGTGGAACCAGTGCCTTAGCGGGGATGGTGTAGCATCTATGTGTATGGCTTTGCTGGTGGGATGTGGGAACTAAATGTAGAATGTTCTAAACTTTTATTTCCTTTTAAAGACTGCATTATTTATAAAATAACAACAACCACAACAGGCATAATTGGTGGATCATTTGAATTCCCTACTGTATAGTGGTGCCCCTGGGGACTTTTTACTACATTCTCTCCTCACTAGGGGATTTTACTTTATTGTCTCATGAATTGAACTGTTTAGACTGTTCATATTCACTTTATTCTGTTAGTTCAAAGATCTCCAGTGTGCTCATCCATCTTGGAGAAGGAATTTTGATCTGCTTCATGACAAAGGCAGGGCAGGTTGCATTGTCAATAGAAGATACCAGCAGTGTATCTCCCGCTTCTCCGCACCTTGTCTTAGGCCTGGTCTACGCTACAGGGTAGGTCAAATTTAGCCGCATTAGGTCGATTTTAAAAATGAATGCTTCCACACAACCAACTCCATTCCGTCGACCTAAAGGGCTCTAAAATCGACTTCTGTACTCCTCCCCGGCGAGGGGAGTAGCACTAAAATCGACTTTGCTGGTTCGAATTTGGGGTAGTGCAAATGCAAATTGACGGTATTGGCCTCCAGGAGCTATCCCAGAGTTCTCCATTGTGACCGCTCTGGACAGCACTTTGAACTCCGATGCACTAGCCAGGTACACAGGAAAAGCCCTGGGAACTTTTGAATTTCATTTCCTGTTTGGTCAGCGTGGCGAACTCAGCAGCACAGGTGACCATGCAGTCCCCCCAGAATTGTAGAATGTTTCTACGCTCCCCCTACCATCTCTGTCCCTGAGATTATCGCAGATTAGAAGGTGAAAAAAATGCACTCGCGATGACATGTTTTCTGAGCTCATGCAGTCCTCCCACACTGATAAGGCACAGCTTAATGCATGGAGGCATTCAGTGGCAGAGGCCAGGAAAGAATTAAGTGAACGCAAAGAGCGGAAGCAGGACACGATGCTGAAGCTAATGGGGGAGCAAACCGACATCATGAAGCATCTGTTGGAGCTGCAGGAAAGCCAACAAGAGCACAGACCCCCGCTGCATCCACTGTATAACCCCCCTACCCTCCTCCCCATGTTCCATAGTCTCCTCACCCAGATGCCCAAGAACGCGGGGGGGAGGCTCCGGGCACCCAGCCACTCCACTCCAGAGGATGGCCCAGGTAACAGAAGGCTGTCATTCAAACAGTTTGATTTTTAGTGTGCCTACAATAGGCAATGTGGCCTTGTCCTTCCCTCGTCCCCACCCCACCTGGGCTACCTTGTCCGTTATCTCATATTTTTTTTAATTAATAAAGGAAGAATGCATGGTTTCAAAACAATAGTTACTTTATTTCGAAGGGAGGAGGGTGATTGGCTTACAGGGAATTAAAATCAACAAAGGGGGCGGGTTTGCATCAAGGAGAAACACACACAACTGTCACACCGAAGCCTGGCCAGTCATGAAACAGGTTTTCAAAGCCTCTCTGATGCGCAGCGCTCCTTGCTGTGCTCTTCTAATTGCCCTCGTGTCTGGCGCAAAACGATTGTCTGCTGTTGCTTTCATGGAGGGAGGGGCAAGTACCCCAAACCACCCGCGACAATGTTTTTGCCCCATCAGGCATTGGGAGCTTAACCCAGAATTCCAATGGGCGGTGGAGACTGCGGGAACTGTGGGATAGCTACCCACAGTGCACCGCTCCGTAAGTCGATGCTAGCCAAGGTAGTGAGGATGCACTGATGACTTAATGCGCTTAGTGTGGACATACGCAATCGACTGTATAAAATCGATTTCTAAAAATCGATTTCTATAAAATCGACCTAATTTCGTAGTGTAGACATACCCTTAGAATGACCAGGAGCATCAACTGACCCCGTCTTGAATGTGACAGGAAATCATCACAGTCATGCCCAGTGATCTTGAGGATGCATGCATGTTGTCTATGCATCTGCAATATTATCTAATCATTTGCATCCTCTTATGTACTATCTTCACAGTCACCTTGAAAATTCTTTCTGTTTCTGTTTGCCCAATAGACTTGAGCAGCAACCTCCCCTCCCAGGTATTATTTATTGCAGGTCTGCCCTGCTGCTTGCCGGAATCGGCTTATTTCTCTTTCCTTTGGAAAGTAGGCAGTCGTCTGCATTCCCAGAAATTGCAGATGCCATGGAAGGATGAAAGCGTGTCAGGAATGACATCCAGCATTGCTGGGGAAAGGTCAATTCCTCTGCAAATAGATCCAGGCTTTGTTGCCCTAGAGGATATAAATCAAGTTATCATAATGTGTGTTTCAAAATGTGCAGTACATTGCATAGGATGTGGGGGTGTATGTGTGTTTTTATTTTTTTCTTGTATGGCATCCAAACTTGTGAGGGCTTCAGGCTTCTCCATAGTGCTATGCTGCCTTAGCAACAGAGATTCAGAGCATGAAGAGCAGGTATCTTTGCTGTCAATACTGCAATGTCCAATCCACACCGAGTAACCTAGGGCCTTTGCAGAACTGATGAACTTTTGTCTTTTAATCTGTGACTGAAATGTAATTAACACAGCAGGGTGTGTATAAATCCTACGTGTCTTGCTTAAACTGAATTGTACTATACTGAGGCATATAAATAGAATATGTTCAGGAACTTCGTTGTAGCCCTGGTATTTTTATGCTAATCAAAAGCATCTTCCCATTGTAATACAACATCATAAACTATAAGGCAAGCAGACATGATTATAATTTGTGCCCTGTTATTTAATTCCTAATATAGTGTGTTATATTTGTTTTCTTTTTCACTTAAAGGTATGGATGATAAAAATGCAACAAAACTTAATGAACTGATTCAAATTGGGTAAGTAAGAATTTTTTTCGCAACTAATAAAAGCAGACCATAAAGCAGCTTGATTGCTGAGTTGATGGCCCAGTGCAGAGAGCATTTATTACTTTGTAAGGGCTGTAATTTGATTTAATATGCTGAAAAATATGAAATAACCTTGTTTCATATTTTCCCCTACCTTTTCCTGAGAGGCAAACTAATTTAAATAGTCAGTACACCAGGGGTAAAGTTTAAGATATTCCCTGATAGTGTGAATGATTTGTAGAAGATGTCTTCAAAAAAAAAAAAAAAAAAATTGATTTGAATGTACAGAATATGACTTTCAGCACCAACACTACTGTGGTTTTAGGCCTTCACACAGCTCTGCCAATGTACCTTAGGCCCCGATCCTGTTAACACCTATGGATGTACTTAACTGTAAGCACAAGTAGTCTCCTTGACTTCAAGCAGGATTGGGGCCTCACTCCTGAACTTCACTATCCCCTGGATTATATAAATGGTAGGAAGTTCTACTACTTTTTAGAAATGAATGCATGAAATACTTCTTGGGAGGTGGAGGGAGGGTTAAATAATTGAATTGTTCTGGCTTTTCAATGCTGACAGTTTCTTCGAATCCTTTCCTTGTATACAGTCATCATGAACCTTACAATGGAGCATTTGACCTTAATCTTAATGACCTCCCCTCTCCAGGGTGCACTTCTTTTGTAAGACTTGTGATAGGCTCACAAATCTTGGAATAGCCTGTTGGCTGTTCTCTAGACAGTTTGCTTCTGTCTGTTAAAATTAGAGCAAAAGTGATGTGCTAAAAATTGCCACTTGGGTTTGATCTTGTGTGCCAGCCATGTAATTTTACATATAATCCTTTTTTTAAATTTTGGGATTTTTAGTCTGCTTTTCTTTTTTTCTTCCCATCACTATTTTGCTTTTATAGCCGTTTTTGTGCTCTTGCACGTAGGTTCAGTTAAACATTTTTTTAATAAGCATAACTGTATTAGCGTATATGAACAGTTTCACCAGTTGTAGGCCTATTTAGATACTGTATTTGTGCTAAGGGAGTACTAGTTATATTTTTAGCTCTTAGGCATTTCTAATTGGCTCATTACTCTGACACCTAGACTTTAGGACATAGGTATATATGGTGGATTGGGGATCTCTTATAAAGTCCGTGTCATCCAAGCACTCTGACCAGCACAACATGATGACAAGAACATGCTCATTTTTAGCAAATTTAGGCCCCAGTCCTGTAGTGTGGTGTTTACAGGTTCAGGGGTTTTCTTGTCAGTGTCACTTGGCTGGACTGGGGCCTTAGTTTTCTTTAATCTCATCTGTTCTAATCAAATGGTGATTGTCTGGGAGAAAGTTAGATATTTATCTTACAAAGGTTTTGTCTCATATCCAAGCATTTCAGAAACGTGGATTCTTGCACTTAAATATATTAAAACTCAATCTCTTAATATGACCTGGAGTGTAGATAGATTTTACTTTTTCTTATTGGGAAATCCAGAATTATTCACTCTTTGGCAGATGAAATAGCGCAGATTGACTCCGCTCTTATCAGGCAGAAGAGGGACATCCTCTTTCTGCCCGAAAAGTTTCCTGTCATTCCGATGAGCAAACTGCACAACAGCAGTGTGTGTAAAATTGTATTTCCATTACCCAAATGGCAGTCTGTGTACATTAATCCAGGGAAGATGGATAGAGACACAGCCCCGCAACTCCACATGCACAGTCAAATACAATATGGACTAAAACCTTCTTTCTCCAGCTCACTGTGCTGCTGAAATTACCCCATGTGGTGCTAGAAAGCCATAATCACACTCTTAGTTGCAGGCGATCTTTCTCTTCCCCCTTCCCAAACACAACAGGAAACGTATATGGAACTAGATTATCCTCGCAATCCCCTCATGAGATAGGTAGCTATTAGCCTTATTTGACAAGTGTGGAAACTTTGAGATGCAGAGGAACTGTGAGGAATTACCCAGCATGTTACTGGCATAGCTGGGACTTGAACTTAGGGTCTTGACCTCTTTCATTCTACTTAGACCATGCAGCATCTCTGACTTTCTACAAGATCCTCACTCATTATTTATCAAAACTAAATGACTAGATATATTGGTCAGAATCTTTGCAGCTGAAAACCCGGGCTGCAAATAGCAAGTATTGATTGGAAACTTAATCCACTAATTATTTCAGACAATTAAGAATCCTTTGCACAAAATGTCACACTTGATTTAGTTACCTTAAAAATCCCAGAAACATCTAGAATTGAGCAAATGTAAAGCTTTTTGCACTGCTGTCAGCAGTTACCTGAAGCCGTGGGGGTCTAGAAAATAGGCCAAAATAGAGCTAATTCTAACTTATTTCGGAATGTTGGAATTGCTATACCAGTTCAGACCAGTGGTCCATCTAGTCTTTGCTCCAACAGTGGCCAGCTGGAATCTCTATACTGGGCAACTATGGAACAAAGTATTGTTAAACATTCTTGGGACTCTTCATCACTTTCTAGCCAACCCACACCTCCCTTACAACCTATTTTTATAGTACTGGAGTTGCGTCCCTGGATTGTGTAAACAGGAGGTACCAAACTGAGAACAGAGCTTTTTGTGTACATGTATTTGTAGAATCATAGAAGATTAGGGTTGGAAGAGTCCTCAGGAGGTCATCTAGTCTAAACTGCTGCTCAAAGCAGGACCAACCCGAACTAAGTCATCTCAGCCAGGACTTTGTCAAGCCGGGCCTTAAAAACCTCTAGGGATAGAGAGTCCACCACCTCCCTAGGTAACCCATTCCAGTGTTTCACCACCCTCCTAGTGAAATAGTTTTTCCTAATATCCAACCTAGACCTTCTCCACTGCAACTTGAGACCATTGCTCCTTGTTCTGCCATCACTGAGAAGAGCCTAGCTCCATCCTCTTTGGAACCCCCCCCCCCTTTCAGGTAGTTGAAGGCTGCTATCAAATCCCCCCTCACTCTTCTCTTCTGCAGACTAAATAGTCCCAGTTCCCTCAGCCTCTCCTCGTAAGTCATGTGCCCCAGCCCCCTAATCATTTTCGTTGCCCTCTGCTGGACTCTCTCCAATTTTCCCACATCCTTTCTGTAGTGGAGGGCCCCAAAACTGGACGCAGTACTCCAGATGTGGCCTCACCAGTGCTGAATAGAAGGCAATAACAACTTCCCTCAATGTGCTGGCAGTGCTCCTACTGATGCAGCCCAATATGCTGTTAGCCTTCTTGGCGACAAGGGCACACTGACTCATATCCAGCTTTTCGTCCACTGTAATCCCCAGATTCTTTTCTGCAGAACTGCCGCTTAGGCAGTCGGTCCCCAGCCTGTAGCAGTGCATGGGATTCTTCCATCCTAAGTGCAGGACTTTGCACTTGTCCTTTTTGGAACCTCATCAGATTTCTTTTAGCCTAATCCTCCAATTTGTCTAGTTCACTCTGGACCCAATCGCTACTACCCTCCAGCAAATCAACCTCTTCCCCCAGCTTAGTGTAATCCACAAACTTGCTGAGGGTGCAATTCATCCCATCATCCAGATCATTAATAAAGATGTTGAACAAAACTGGCCCCAGGACTGACCCCTGGGTCACTCCGCTTGATACCGGCTGCCAACTAGACATCGAGCTGTTGATCACTACCCGTTGAGCCCGACGATCTAGCCAGCTTTCTATTCACCTTAGTCCATTCATCCAATCCGTATTTCTTTAACTTGCTGGCAAGAATACTGGAGACAGTATCAAAAGCTTTGCTAAAATCAAGGTATATCACGTCCACTGCTTTCCCCATATCCACACAGCCAGTTATCTCGTCATAGAAAGCAACCAGGTTAGTCAAGCATGACTTACCCTTGGTAAATCCATGTTGACTGTTCCTGACCACCTTCCTCTTCTCTGAGTGCTTCAAAATGGATTCCTTGAGGACCTGCTTCATGATTTTTTCCAGGGACTGAAGTGAGGCTGACCGGTCTGTAGTTCCCAGGATTCTCCTTCTTCCCTTTTTTAAAGATGAGCACCATGTTTGCCTTTTTCCATTTGTCCATGACCTCCCCCGATCGCCACAAATTTTCAAAGATAATGGCCAATGGCTCTACAATCACATCAGCCATTACCCTCGGATGTATTGCATCCAGCCCCGTGGACTTGTGTATGTCCAGCTCTTCTAAATAGTCCTTAACCTGTTCTTTCACCACTGAGGGCTACTCGCCTCCTCCCCATAATGTGCTGTCCAGTGCAGAGAGTCTGGGAGCTGACCTTGACTGTGAAGACCGAGGCAAAAAAAGCATTGAGTACTTCAGCTTTTCCCACATCATCTGTCACTAGGCTGCCTCCCCCATTCAGTAAGGGTCCCCACTTTCCCTGACCACCTTCTTGTTGCGAACATACCTGTAGAAACCCTTCTTGTTACCCTTCATATCCCTTGGTAGCTGCAATGCCAGTTGTGCTTTTGGTCTTCCTGATTACACCCCTGCATGCTTGAGCAATATATTTATACTCCTCCCTAGTCATCTGTCCAAGTTTCCACTTCTTGTAAGCTTCCTTTTTGTGTTTAAGATCACCGAAGATTTCACTGTTAAGCCAAGCTGGTCGCCTGCCATCTTTGCTGTTCTTTCTGCACATTGGGATGATTTGTTCCTGCGCCCTCAATAAGGCTTCTTTAAAATACAGCCAGCTCTCCTGGACTCCTTTCCCCATCATATTAGTCTCCCAGGGGATCCTGCCCATCAGTTCCCTGAGGGAATCAAAGTCTGCTTTTCTGAAGTCCAGGGTCCGTATTCTGCTGCTCTCCTTTTTTCCTTTGGTCAGGATCCTGAACTTGACCATCTCATGGTCACTGCTGTCCTGGTTGCCACCCACTTCTACTTCCTCTACAAATTCTTCCCTGTTCATGAGCAGCAGGTCAAGAGGAGCATGGCCCCTGGTTTGTTCCTCTAGCACTTGCACCGGGAAGTTGTGCCCAACACACCAAAAACTTCCTGGATTGTCTGTGCACTGCTGTATTGCTCTCGCAGCAGA